TCTGTGTAAACCAGCACCAGACAGTTTGGGAAAAGAGAACTAATGCATGGTTAAACAAGACAAATTCAGTGAGTAGATATTTATGTGACTGGAGGTCCCCTGGCATCAGCAGCACTGCTCTTCAATCAGGGAAATCTACATTTAATTAACAAAGAATTAAAGAGCATTGTTATTCTGATTAAAGGCACTGGTCTTGATTTTCCACTCTTCTCTACTCCTCCTGAATCTGGCTTAGGGTTTCTTTTGATTTTCTGCAAGTGGATCAACATCCATTTGGATTGTCTACTCAGGTCTCACTTTTCAGATTGCTATACTATATTCACACTGCAATCTCTGCATATTATTGACCCCTCTCTCTATCCAATATTGGGTTGGTAATAGGATTAGCTTCCCCCCCTTTGAAAAATGGTTCTTAAATGTGACTCTCAATTGTTTCAGCTTAAGTTCTTCTTCACATTGTTTTTACTTACCAGAACAAAAGAGACGAATGGAACTGGTCCAAAACCAAAATAACTGCAGTGCCTCAGGGTACCGCAAGACTTGGAATGAACTAATATGGTCCCAAGACTAGACTATCCAATAAAATGAATATTTGGAAAGCAGGACATGGAAGATATTGGGGTGTCAGGCTGTCAGCAGCTTGTGGGGGATGTTATTTGTAGAAGCTGTGATGTTGTTGTGTTTCTCTGCTCTCTGTTAAAGCTCCAGTAGTCGGGATGAGCCAACAACAAATGCAGGCGAGCAATATGAGGTCACATGAGGCCTTGAGGGAGATCATTCAGATGGCTGTCACTCTGTGATTGCAAGCACGTTAACCTGTGGAACAGAGGGAAGGGTGGGTGGTAATTAATCACCTCATTGGAATAATAACACATTTGATTATTAACAAAACCTGAAAAGAGAGGGCCAAGCAGAGGAAAACAAGACATTGAGTGGGAGAGACAGCGGAGATGAACGAGGGGGAATATGAGTAGTGGGGAAAAGGGTTTGTTCTGGCAGGTAGCTTTGACGAATAGCTCCGTACTGAAGTCTACCTCTTTGAGTATTAATCTACCCAATCATGTCTCCGGATGAGGAATGGAAAAAATGGACAGTAGGAGGTGACTTACTGAGAATCGGCTTGAAGAAGTTGTTGAACGTGCTTTGAAATTTCAGATAAGAATTTGCATACTAAACGCTTAATATTCCATAACACAGTGGGAATATGGGAGTGAAATGCCCCCTTTACCTCGATGCAATCACAAAGATGCACACATTCTTCATGACATTTTGAAATATCATGCAGTAATTTTGGTTTAGTCTATTCAAATGTGGACATTGCTGACATTTTATTCCCAGTGAGGAAAGTAGGCTACCAGTGCTTCTGCGGAATTCATCCATTGTCCATCTTTGCTATTGACACTTTTCTTTAAGCTGCTATGTGGCTTGGGCTGTCAGGGGATCTTTTTTGGACTTTTGGCTTATATAGTTCTCCTGGAAGGTTTGATCTCTTTCCCCCTTTCCTTGTCACAGCATGCAATCAGCCCTAAGCCCTTTTGTGTTCTCCATTCTGAGCTAAGCCTGTTATCCTGTGCAGCTCCTTTACACAAGATCACTACTATATCCCCTTTCTCTGTCTTTCACCCAGTACACGTTCCCTCTTGTTCTTTTGTCCGTCTAGTTCTCTGTGTGTTCTTGTGCTTTGTACACATAGATCCATAAGTAATGATTCTGATTCTGATCATTCTGAAGTTTCTCAGGATGGATTAGTAGGAAGTACTTTATATTTATTTGAACTGTTCTTCGGCATAATCCCCCAAACACCAGAGCAAACTCACAAACAGACGCACAGCAGCCCCTCCCACCCATCT